GAGAGAAGAGAGGCGAGGGTGGGGGAGGGGAGGGGAGAGGAGGGGAGGGAGGGGAGGAAGGGGAGGGAGGGAGGGAAGGGAGGGGAGGGCCTTTCCTGAATGTGCCGCCCGGACAGGACGGCTCTGCGGAAGAGGTGCCAGCCAGCCTGGCCCCCAGTGAATATTGCTGCATGCACGCGGTGGCCGGGCCTCCGGCTGAGCCCTGCGCTCCCTCCCCAGAGTCCCTGCATGGGCCCGGCGTGCGGAGCGGGGGCCTGTACACCCCACACCCAGAACAAGGGCGGAGAGGGACAAGCCCAGCCCGGCGCTGCTGCTCGGTTCCCGTTTCCGTGTTTGCAGGAGGAAGCTGAGCCGCTCCCCGGCTTCCCCTTCTGTCCATCCCTGTCCGCTCCTTGCATTTTCCCCACTGACCTGGAGTGGGCGTGAAGCATACAGGGCACCGCGCACAGCCCTGGCTGAGGGGGCGGGCGCAGACCCCGCAGGGGTGAGCGCTGACGGCCACGGCCAGGCACGGGCCGGACATCGTGGCTCGTGCGCTCGGCCTCTCTGCGCGGCAGCGTCCGCAGCGTCCCCGGAGCTGCCTCGTGCGTCACAGGCCTGGGTGGGCCCTGCGTCCTTCCTGGAGACATCTGGGTGCCCAGAACACCTGCAGCTAAAACACCAGGAAGCAGAGTGGCTGGAGTGCAGACTGCATGCTGGGGACAAGCGAGCCGCGTCAGAGCGAGTCCCTTGAAGCCTGCGCGGGCATCTAGCCTGACTCCCTGGCTCGGACTGCTGTCCTGGGGCTTGGGTGGCGGGCAGAGGTGTTGGAGGAAGGTGATCGCGAGCTTCATGAGGGATGGGCCCAGGCAGGGGCAGCCGAGCGCCAGGGACAGCGGGGAAGCAGGAGCCCTGGGAGGCCAGTCTGAGCAGTGGGGGCCACAGGCTTGCGCAGTGCTGAGGCAGGCGTGGGCTCTTGGAGGCCAGAGTCGGAGCTGGCATGCAGGGGGCTCCTGCCTTGTCAGGATTCTGGGCCAGGGCATGGGGTCTACCGGAGAGCGCGTCGGGGGAGAACGTGAGCCTCCACTCCCCCATCGCCTCTCCTAGGCCGTGGAAAGCACCAAGAGGCCGCTCTCCAAGAGGCGCAAGGGGAAAAATCCCTGATTCGCCAGGGAGGATGTGGCCGCTTACATTAAAAGAACCGTGTTCACGCTCCCTATTACCGACACAGAGCTGCTTCTCTGCATGTGACGCTCAGGTGGAATCCGGTGTGCAGACGTTCAGCTACCCACAGACTTGAACGTGTTGATGCTAAAATTCGCTGGGTGACTTCCCAGTCTAACAGGTCTGCTGGACCTCCAGCCATCCCCTCTGCATTCCATGCCTAAGGAAGAGGCAAAGGGGCCAGGAGACCCCGAGGATTCCTGCTGAGAAGCAGTGCTGGGAGCGGCCTCACTCTGTCTGCTCCCGTCAGAGGGGTTTGAGCTCACTCATGTGGGCGCTGGTTACCAGGGACAGTGGGTGTCAGGCTGCTTTAGACAGCAGTGCCGCCTGGGGCCATCTCCGAGCCAACCGAGACCAAGGAGAGATTTGCTGGAGAACCCTGTTAGGGAGCCTGTGCTCGCTGGACCTTCCGTGTGTGTGTGTGTGTGTGTGTGTGTGTGTGTGTGTGTGTGTTAAACACGTGTTGACTGAAGAATAAAAATTAAAAAGATTGCCAAGTGATTGCCACATGGCCATGGAGGGGACCCTCTTGCAGAGCTGTCCCATGGGCAGGTGAGGACGACAGCACAGGTGTGAACTGCCCTCTGCCCGCCCAGGTAACCGGCCAGGCAATGTCACCACAACACAGCGGACGGGGTCGGTTTCTTCGCCCACAGCTGCCCCTGTTTCAGCTTCCAGAAGACACAGAGAGAAAGACCCAGGCACGGTGCGGGACACAGGGGCCTTTTCCGCTGTGGATCTTGGGAAAAGGTTAAATCGGTGCAGGTTGTGGAGATCAGATGGCTCGGGTGAAGGCACAGCGGATGCTGGTACACGGCCCTTTGGCTCCTAATTCCAACCAACGACTGAGATAAAATAATAATGATAATAATAATAATAAAATGCCGTACGGCTGTGCTGTGTTCCCCTCATGGATCTGTGAGGCAGCAGGAAATTTGTACATAGATCTGACTTTCAATGCTATTAAAGAATTTCTCACTATTTTAGGATTGTCGTAGCCTGGTGAGACGAAAGAAAGTCCTGCCTTAGAGAAGTGTGCTAAGATGTTACGCGTAAAACAGTGTGGCACCTAGGATCTCCCACAAGATAATACAAGGCCGGGGACAGTGGGTGGGGCAGGCAAAGTCAAGCCCGAGGCCCCCGGACCCTCTGTGCGTGCGTGGGTGCGTGCGCGTGTGTGCGTGTGCGCTTGGGCCTGTGTGTGCCTGGTATGACAAGTCTTTTTCTTTCTTTTTCCTTTGGGGTGCTGGGGGTTGGATGCTGAGTGGTAAGACAGAGATTGGTAAAATGTATCAGAGAACTCGGCGTACTTCTTTCTATGTGGTTTTATTATTTGTTCAAAAGGAGTCGTTAACAGAGGCAGTGAGGAGGAGGAATCTGAACAGACCATGATATGACAAAAAATAAAAATACGCCAAAAACTGACCGTCAAACCCTCTAGAAACTTATAAATCCTCTACGAGTTAAACTTCTCCAGAGACCAGAAAAAGAAAACAAACCAAAAAACCAGAAAACCTTCTAGAACATTCCTCAGACTCATATAATCTGACACCCAAACCTGGTAAACACAGCACTATGCCTGTTAAAAATCTATAAAACTATAAATCCAAGCTGTTATTATTAAAAATTTGTCTAATGAAGAGGGAAGATAATCTTTCCCTTTGAAAATGTATTTGTTTACCATTATTATTTTTTAATTGTTGGTCTTCCGAGAAGCTTTAATACATTAGGCAAGCATTCGAGCTGAGTCCACCCACAGCCCCTGGAACATTTTCTGTAGTGAATTCGAGTTTTTAAAACGTTTGTGGACCTGATCATCCCTAGAAGCGCTTGACAAACACATGCCTCCAGCCACAGTCTGCACATTTGGTCTCACAAAGCCTGAGAATCTGAATTTGACAAACAGCCCGGACAATTTTGACTCTGGTGGTAAAAACGCGGCGTTAATGCAGAGCACCTTAGACCCGAAGGCGGCTGTGCTGTGAGGGTGCTGCCCCGTCAGAGCTTTTGGCGAGCCCCTCCCGGAATCAGGGCTCTCCGTCAACACGCTCAAGAGGTACTGACAGAGCCCAGCCACTTCTGCAAGTGAGAATAAACAAAATCCAGAGATAATGAGCAACACTCAGATCCACGAACGGATAATACGTGATGACTAAGCTGTTTTAAATCCCACAGCGAGAAAGGGTGAGTTCACCTCAGGAGAGCTGTTTCACAAGTCGGCCAGCACATTCCCTACAGTTCTTGCGTAATGCAGCACCCCCAGACTGTGCAGCTTACGACGGTGTTCCTTTCTTTGCAGTTCTTACTGGGTAACTTGGAGCAGTTGGTCCAAGTGGCTGCAGCTGGGAGCGGCGGTCAGGGTTGCAGCCCTCGAAGACCGAACAGGCCAGAACCCATTTCCAAGATGGCTCCCGCACACAGCTCTTGGCAGGCGGCCACAGGTCCTGGCGGTGTGGACCTCAATGGGGTTCTGAGCGCCCTCAACACCTGGCTGCTGATCCTTCCACAGCAAAGATTCAAGATACGCCGTGGGGCCTAATTTTGGACTCATGCTCTCTTGTTTCGCAAGTGTATGAGGGAGGGATGGAAGCCAGTTGGTCCCTAACAGAAAGCCACAGAAGTCCATGGGGGACTGGTCATGTCCCCCATGACCACGCAGTTCTGCTCCTCTCTGCTGCTCCTCTTCCGCGACTATGGACAGCGTGCATCACCTTGAGGCTGTGGGGGTGGATCCTGGCCTGCGTGGGCTCGGGCCCCCTCAGGGAAAGGCTGGTTTAGGGGGACGGCCCTCTACCCTCCAGGGGCGCCCCAGCTGTGGTCCTCTTCCGCCCAGCTTGGGCGTGTGGATGGGGCTGACTGTGAGGGCGACTGAAGACCTCTGCACCCACCCAGTGCAGCCCAGTGGGGACCGGTGAGGCTGCGGGGCTGCGTGCAGGGCGGCTCTCCCGCCCGCTTCCCTCCCAGCCCTGCTTTCTGTAGAGCGTGGCCTGGAAGGGTGCGCCCTTGTCCCCGGCTCCTCCTTCTCTCGCTGCTTCCTGTCCATCATGCCGTGAGCAGCTCCCCTCCTCGGGGCCCTTCCACCGTGCTTCCTGCCTCGGAGCTGCCGACCACACGAGGACCGAAACTTCCAAAGCCACAAGCCACAAACAGACCTCTCCTTTAAGTGCTGGGTGTGGGGTGTTGTGTCTCAGCCACAAGAAAAGTGACTAAGATACAAAAGAAATCCTCACTACAGCTTTACAGGCCGAGGCGAAATCAATTTGTCACCACGCCACACGCACGGAATCTCCTCCCCACGCCAAGCCCAGAGGACACCACCGGCCTTCTAGAAGCTGCTTCTCTTGTCACCTGCCTCTGCAGCCCAAGTCACGTTGGTGGGGCAGAGGGACGTCCCAGGAGCAAGGAGGTGAGTCAGCGGTGGAAACACCCTGCCGTGGGTGGCTGGGGTTCAGGGTTCCCCCAGAGCAGAGCGTTTCCTTTCCGAGCCCTGAGATTTCAGAGGGGGCCCAGGGGCGGGAGAAGGAGGAGGAACCGTCTGACCCGGTTGCTGGGTGCTCATCTCAGAGGCCTGTCTGGACGGCACCTCTGGGAGAGAAGGTAGCGCTGAGTGAGTTGTCATTCGCCCCATTATCCACCTGTAATTACTCGGGTAATTACAGTTAATCGCAGTTAATGGGTCTCAGAATACCTTCCTCAGAACTGCGGCTGGCTGTCTGAAACCTCAAGTGCAGGGTCGGTGTGCAGCCAAAGCCTGGTTCAGCCCGTGGGCTCAGGGCGCTAGCCAGCCCCGGCCCCTCTAGGATGTGACTCCGCCCACTTCCTGCTGGCCCCAGGAACTGGTGAGCTGTGGCTGAGAGGAGCCCAGGCGCTGCAAGGAGACTTCCCTTGGTGTCCGGAAGGGCTCACGCCTTTCTCTTGCTATTTGGTGCCAGGTTCAAACCAGGGTCCTGTTTCATGTTTTTTTTTCTTTTTTCCGGTACCAGGAATTGAACTCATGACCTCGCGCTTGCCAGGCAGGTGCTATGCTGCTGAGCTAAATCCCCAGCCCAAACCAGGGTCCTGTGCATGTGGAGCCCCCACTCTGCCCAGGCCCAGCAGGCCCCAGGCATCAAGCTGGAAGCCTAGGGGAGCTGGGGCTCTTCTGCCACCCATGTCCCCCTGCGCCTAGGGCAGTGACGACCCCAGGAAGCAGTGGAACGCCTGATGACATCAGCTCTCGTCTCGGTGGCCTCAGAGAGATTTTTTTTTTTCATTACTGGAAATCGGACTCAGCACCTTGCACCTGCCAGGCAGGCACTTCTGCCACTGAGCCGTGTCCCCGGCCCGGCCTCAGAGAGACCTGCCGCTCTGCCGTCTGTTCACAGGCTTCCCACGTGCCCTGGTCACTACTCTCTGGGGCCTCGATGCCCCCACAAGGGCTGTCAGCTCCCCGACTGGA